CTGAGTATAAAAATTAACTTAAATGGTAAATAACTGTAAAAAAGTTTTTTTAGTTGTTTAGTAAGTTAATTTAGTTGTTGTAGTTAATTTAGTACTCCGTAGTATACTTTTAGTAAATAATATTTTTGGCTTAGGGCTACAGTTAACAGAGCCGCTTTTACCCGCGGTCATCACGGGCAAATGCTAGTAAAAAAAATTTTTTTCGCGATAATTTAATACTGTTAACACAATCTGGGTATTTCTGAGGTTTTTGGGAGGGAAAATCTGGGGTTTTCTCAAAAACTTGAGTGATAACGCTAGTTGTACAATTGTTGCACGACATTTCTACAACTATTGGAAACCAAGCTTTAAAAGTTCTGCTCCGCTAATCTGATCTGCTCTGCAGATTGTTCCTACCCAAAAAACAAACAAACAAACAAACAAAAAAAACCCATCAACAACAACAGTTGTTGATATTACTTTAGTTAACCCACTTTATTTGAGATTTTTATTTATTGTTTATTCCTTGTCGACTTGCTACAATTGAAGTCAAGTGCCTTTTAATTTTATTGGTATTTCTTTTACTTTAGTGAAAACAAGTATAAAAAGAAACGTTTTTGTTTTAAATTTCCTAAGTATAATGATTATATATTTATACTTAAAATTTAGTTATAACAACAATATATATATATATATTCTGAAATAATAGTTTACATTTCATGGTAGTTTACTAATAGTACGAGTACTAATCAAAGGTAAACAACAATTAAATAATAATAGCAATCATATAATAATAATAATGATAATAGCAATAATAATAATAATAATAATAATAATAATAATAATAATAATAATAATAATAATAATAATAATAATAATAATAATAATAATAATAATAATAATAATAATAATAACAATAATAATAATAATAATAATAATAATAGTAACAACAATAATAATATTAACAAATATCACATTCATATATTAAACAATTCCAATAAGTAATAATGACGGTAATAAAAATGCAAATAAAATGTAAGTAATATTAACATCACATATAATAATAATACTAATAACAATAGTAATAATAATCTATTAATCTATTAATATTAATTATAAAATTAAAAATTATTTTCATTAAGATACTTAAAAAATTACTTGTTTATATTATTTTAGGTCTCTTAATAGCAACATATTACTATTATATTGTAAATATAAACTTGTTTATGTCGTACAAAGACTTGAATTTATATTCTGTTTAAATCAGTTAATCATACATAAACTTTATTTAGGATATTATAAATTATAAAGCAATCATAAATAAATTGATTAATAATCAATTTATTAAAATTATAAAGCAATCATAAAAAAATTGATTAATAAATCTTTGTATAATTTTAAGTTGTTGAACAACAACTTATAATTAAACAAAGTTTTATCAATCCTTATATAATACAATATATATATATATATATATATATATATATATATATATATATATATATATATATATATATAATACAATTGTATTATATAATATATAATATATATATAACAATATTATTATATTATATACCTAAATATATATGTAAAATAATTTTTGAATGTAGACATCATGTATGAGAATACATATATATATATATATATATATATATATATATATATATATATATATATATATATATATATATATATATATATATATATATATATATATATATATATACATACGTATATATATATATATATATATATATATATATATATATATATATATATATATATATATATATATATATCAATATATGATAAATACTATATCAAAATGTGTGATTTACAATTTAATATTATTAGTATTAGTATTAGAAATTGCTGTAACTGGTGTAAGCCAGTGGGTGTGGTACTAACACCCTATGAAAGCTGATTCCCTTAATTGTTGCTCATCCAGCAAACAAGACCTGCTTTAAAACTATTAACTGATTATGCTTTAACCAACTCACTTGGCAAGCTATTCCATAAATTGGCCGATCTATTACATAAAATGTTTTCACAACATGCTTGCTTAGTGATTTCTTTGACTTATTTAAAACTGTGACCTCTCGTTTGAGTTTGTTGAATATTAATTTTTTTGATTGTTTCCAAATCGTTAAAACCATTGAAGAATATAAAAAGTTGAATCATATCTCCCCGTTGACTCCTTTTTGTCAAGATAGTTGAGAGCTTTTAGATGGTTCTCATAACTGATTTTTTTAAGTGATGGTATTAATTGAGTTGCACAATGTTGGACTCTTTCTAATAACTCAATTTCTCCCTTTTGAATAGGAGCACTGCCTCAAATGCCCTGGCCAAATCCAAAAAAATAACATCAACAGGTTTACCATACTCTAAGGTAGTTGAAACAAAATCAAGTGTTTCAAGTAGATTCGTTTAGCATGATTTATTTTTAACAAAACCGTGCTGTTGCTTGACTATTAGTTTAAACCTAAATAGAAAAGTTTCAAGTTTACATCTGATTATACCATTATTTTATATGCAATTGAAGTTAGTGTTTATATGCAATTGAAGTTAGTTATTTTATATGCAATTGAAGTTAGGTCGGTAGTTTCCTGCTAAGGTTTTATTGCCTTTTTTGTACAGAAGAGTGATATTTGCTGATCTAAATTGCACTGGCAGTTTGCTGGTTTCAAATGACTCTTTAAAAATATACGTAAGTGGAATGGCAAAGGCTAATGCACAATTCTTTAGAATAGCTGAATGTAAATTATCAACACCAATTGATTTGTTATCTTTTAAGTTTTTTAATCTTAGATAGACATCTTCATATGTAAAAACTTTATTTGTCATATTGAATACTTCAGTAGTTCTTAGCTTAAAAGAAGGCACTAGACTATCATCTTCTTTCATAAATGCAGCTTGGAAATTTTTGTTTAAGATATCAGCAAAATTTTTTTTTTGAATTTTGAGTGGTTTTACCATTTGCTCCCTTTAATGCTTTTATAGTATCTTTGACTGCTTGTTGATTGTTCATGTAGCTGTAGAGAAGCTTTGGATTCTTGATGGCTCTTTTTACCAGATTAAGCTCAAAGTTTTGTGTCACTTTTTTAATCTCGTCTGCTACATTTATGCAAATCATTTTGTATTTAGATTTCAAAACAGGGTCTTTCCATTTACATGAGCAGTTTTTATATCTTAAATTTTGTTTGCTTCTAATAAGAAACTTTAACTTAGCATTAACCCAGGCTGGTCTAATTTTTAAAGAGTTTAATGTCTTTTTAATTGGAGTGAAATAATTACATGCCAACTCAGTATAAAATCAGTTCATCAAACATTTCTTGTACATTTTTGTTACTAAAGCATTGTATCCAGTCAACACTTGAAATTAGATCAGATATTAGTTCAAAATCGGAAATAGCAAACATAAATCTTTGCTTACTTTTCTTGTCACAGATTGTTTTATCAGACAGGATAAAACTGAAACATATTATTAGATGGCCTCTGGTTATGTTTCCCAAAACAAATTTTGAATCTATTTCATTAACACTTGCTGATCTTTTTGCCACGGATGCCATACCAAAAGGGGTCATTTTTTGTTTTTGCTTGATTCATTTTATTTCTTTCAGTTCTGAGGTTAAAGTCTTGGAGTCTCTGAGCCTCAGTCAAATCTGGACTAAGATAAATATCTTTATGTGCAACATTACTTCTCAATTTTTTAGCTGATCCTAATATTATGTTGTAAAGAATATCCTCAGCTAATTTAACAAGAGTTGGACCTGGTTTATTAGTTTTAGATCTCAGCTGTCTGACAAATTTTGGTATTACATTCTCTTGATTTATGAGCTTAAAAATTTCATTTACTTTTGACTCGTCTTCTTTTGATTTCATTTCTATGCTATCTTTAGTTGATTCAGCTGCTCCATAAATAATGACATTTTTTGACATCTTTTTCTTTCGTCTAGCTCATTAATGGCTACATTTGTTACCATCAGCTGTTCTGTAGGATTCTTTTTTTGTATACTCAATTTGACAATAAACGACCAGTCACTGATAAACTTGCATGACTCAGCTGCTTTATTTATTTCTGTCTTCAGATTTTTAATGTTTTCATCATTTTAATGTTTTCATCGTAGTTTTATCAGGCAAACAAAGAGTTCCAAAAAAGCGTTAGAAAGCTGGCTACACCAGTTATGAATGTATTTAATTTTTTGAAGTGTAAACCGGTACCCCATTTTGGCCAGTTGTTCTGTTTAAGAAAATCTAAATTCATTCCTTAGCTGATATTGTCTACTTTCTTAATTAGTGGGCTACCACCCTGAATAACAGTGGATTTATTTTATGGAATTAATAAATAAAAACTAAAAATATAAAATAGAAATTATATAACAAATAGAAATTATATGTGTAAATAATATAGATATTTCTATTGCTTTAAGTGAAAAATAGAGTTTGTAAAAAATATAAATTTTTTAAAGTTTCTTACATATTATTTATTAATAATATGTAATAAATTTTAAAAAATATTAAAAAATATGCTAGTTTGTTGTTAAAATTTCTTACATATTATTAATTTGTAAGAAATTTTAACACAAGTATATTTTTTATAAATTTTATTTTTTGCTCAAGCAATAGAAATATCCATATCATATACACATAGTATATAATTTCTGTTATATATTTTTAGTTTTAATTTTTATTTGTGAATATTTATATTGTAAGTTGACCTAAAATTTGGCACATTTTTACACATGGGCCAACATTTTTAAATGCGCCAATACAAAATTTTTTTAAAAAGATTGTTATCTAGCTAGCATAAAAATGTTATTTTCAAATTATTTGAACAGAATACCTTTAGAAAATTAATTCTCCTTCCCCCCCCCCCCCCAAAAAAAAAAAAAAAAAAAAAAAAAATTATTCAACTAAATTCCATGTAAAATATACATTAAGGAAAATATAACAACAATTTAGAATAACTTAAATAAAAAAAATGCAATTGATAACTATTACTATTTTTTTTTAATTATATGTAAATATTAAATATAAATACTAGGTCAGTATAATGAGTAATTTAACATACTGTCTTGCTGGAAGAGAATATGGATGTTTTGTTCAGCGAAAAATTGAAAAAGTTCTCGAAAAGAAAGTTGCAGTTAATAGCACACTTGAACTAGTTAAATATTGTTATAATTTATTTTCGTTTTTAAATTTTTAAAATTGTTTTTGAATGGTAATCAAAATTGTCTCTACTTGATATTTTTATTATAATATTATTCTATTAATTTCAGTCATACCAAGTTCCACTCACTGCAAGATCAACATTTTGCATAGGATTTAGTCCAGATAGGTAAATGTTTTCGAATTTTTTTACTTTGTAGATTTTTATAGTCTGATGTAAATCAGTTAAATAAAAAAGTCTAAAAAAAGAGACTAGAAACACAAATGTTTTAATTTTATCCCAAATTGTAATGCCTAATAAAATTAAAAGCCATTTTCAAATTATATTATATGATGTTGTGAATGACACTAGTGAAGTTGTATTAAAAAAGAAAATTTTTTTTTTCAATTTCCTTATATTAAATTGATTATTTTAGAAGAACGATTGCAACCAGTCATGGTGATCATTCTGTGCGGATTTCAGATTGCATTAAAATGAAGACTGAGCATGTTTTAAAAGGACATTCTAGAACACCGTGGTGTGTAGAGTTTCATCCCAAAATCAATTCACTTCTTGCATCAGGTTGTCTTAGTGGGCAAGTGTTTATTTGGAACTTAGATGTAAGTATTATTTATTGATTATAAGAAATTAGTCCAAGTTAGACAAGATGTTTTTCTATTTTTCGAAAGTTTTTTAATTAAACCTAAATAGCTAGTCAGGTTTTTTAAAGTTCTTTTTTTAATACTATTTAAACTTGGATTTTATATGCAACACATTTTATAACACTATATGCAACACATATAAAAATTAGAAAAGATATTATTAAAATTCTTAAATATATTGGCTTTCAAATTAATATAAGCATAAACTTGAAAATCATAAATTTTCTTGATGTAATATTAACCTCTCAGAAAATTCATATAAACCTTTCAAAAAACCAAATGATGAATTTATTTCACCAATTGTACATTATTATTAACTCAAACCATCTATGACAAATTCTTAAACAAATCTCAATTTCAATTGTTAACAGACTAAACTAAAACAGATATGATGAAAATGTGTTCAATTCTTTTAAATATATTTACAAAATATGCTCTTAAAAAAAGCAATTTTTAAAATTTCAACTTAAAATTTGACCATAAAAAATAGAAATAGAGCTAGAAACATAATTTGGTTCAACTCCTCATACAGCAAAAAATGTTTCCACTAACATAGGAAGATGTTTTTAAAAATGGTGGATAAACACTTACTGCCCTCTAATAAGTTACATAAAATTTTCAATCAAATACAATTAAAGTTAGCTACAGTTGCACAAAAAATATGGAAAGAATTGTAAAAGGCCACAAAAATGATTTGTTATACAAAAAAAAAAATCTAAATGAAAAATAACAAAAATTGTGATTGCAAACAAAAAAAAAACAGTTGCACAATTGAGTGGAAAATGTTAATCAAAAAATTGCGATATATAAGTGTGTTGTTTCTTTTAAGAATGTTCCTGATAAATAATATATCAGCAGAGCGAAAAGCGTTTTGCCAATCATAAGCAATTCTTTAAAAATAAAAAGTATTTAAAAGGCACCATGCTGCTAAAATACATATAAGTATTAAAAGATAAAAAAAATTATATAGAATTAGTCCATCCTTAAAACATCACCTGTGCATAATTATATTTCCAAACAAATTTATATTTTGCCTACAATAAAAAATTGAAATAATTACACAGGAAAACCAAGAATGTTTATTAAATAAAAAATTAGGATTGATTTCTAAATGCTCACATAACAAAAAGTTAAAAAAACTATAAAAATAAGAGTTAACAAAATAATAATAAAAAATCTTTTTTAAAAGTATATAAAAAAACAGAAGTGAACAATTCTTAATAATTTATTTTAAAATAATGTCTACATATTCCATTGTGTGAAATTTCACTAATGTGTGAAATATTACAGTAGTTAAGACATTTATGACTTCCTGTAATCTATCTATCTATCTATCTATCTATCTATCTATCTATATATATATATATATATATATATATATATATATATTATATATATATATATATATATATATATATATATATATATATATATATATATATATATATATATATATATATATATATATATATATACATATATATATATATATATATATATATATATATATATATATATATATATATATATATATATATATATATATATATATATATATATATATATATATGTATATATATATATATATATATATATATATATATATATATATGTATATATGTATATATATATATATATATATTAGGGTGGTCCATAAAACAACTTTTTTGAGAAAAACCTGCTGACACCCCCTAAATGTGTTTTATCTAATGCAAAAACACTAGGTTTAAAATTTTTTTGAACAAAAATTATTTTTAGGGGTAGCTCAAGGCCCTCAAAAATTTGACGGGTCCCTAATATTTTGAAAAAAAAACTTTTTCTAAAGTATGTCAACCTGGTACTCAAAATAAGCAAAATTATATAAAAAATTTAAAAATGATAATAATTTTTTATAAAAATAATTTTTTTAGGTATAAATGCATAAAAACTATTGTTTTTAAGCTGAAAATAAAAAAAGTCAATATTTTCAGGTTTTTTGAGAATAATTTTTTTTAGGCATGTTTTTTATGTAAAATGATTATTATTTTTGAAGTTTTTATACAATATCGCTTCTTTTGAGTACCAGGTTGACATACTTTAGAAAAAGTTTTTTTTTCAAAATATTAGGGACCCGTCAAATTTTTGAGGGCCTTGAGCTACCCCTAAAAATAATTTTTGTTCAAAAAAATTTTAAACCTAGTGTTTTTGCATTAGATAAAACACATTTAGGGGGTGTCAGCAGGTTTTTCTCAAAAAAGTTGTTTTATGGACCACCCTAATATATATATATATATATATATATATATATATATATATATATATGTATATATATATATGTATATATGTATATATAAATATAGATAGATAGGTAGATAGATAGATAGATTATATATATAGTTGTTTGCCATATTATTGCACTATTTTTTTTTTATTTTTTTTTTTATTTTAATTCACCTCCTCAAGGCCGAGAAGGCCACTACAGACGAGGAGGCTACTTATTTGTGGTTATAACCCTCTCTCAACTCTATAACTCCGAAACACGAACCTTGACGAGCAAGGCCGCTGCGCGGAGAAACGAGTTGAGCGCGGTACTACCAGGGACGTGGTGGGGATCGAACTCGGAACCACTCGTTTATGAAGCGAGCGCTCTACCACTACACCACTACCGCATTAACACCACTACACCACTACCGCATTTGGAATATTAACTCAAATATTAGAGTTAGGAGTATCATTGCAATCTGCCTGTATAGAAACTTGTGGAAAAAAAAGAATCGCAAACCCTAGAGATGAGATAGAAAAATAGCAAACATTCAGTATATCTGCTAACCAAGCAAATGAATGAAGAGTGCATTACATCTCAATGCACGATGCAGATATGTTTGAAAAAATTTGGGTTAACTTCTGAACTACCAGCTTAAAAACATAAATTAACACTAGCTATGGTTAATAAAAGTTTTAGAATGGACATAAAAGTTCAAAAACCTTACCGAGGTTGGCTGGATAAGAATAATCAAAAAAACTTTACTTTAAAATTTATTATAAAATCCATTATGTTTTTATTTACTCATATTTTGAGGTTTGGTCCTTTTATTATTTGTTACACAAGTTTTTTCAGGTTTGCTATTTGAATAAATTAGTTTTTTAAATAAAAGATCATATACTTCAATAGAAGTATGAAGATCAATACTAGTATTTAAAAAATAGCATATAGTACATAAAAGATAGCATAAAAATCAATACTGGCAAATTCTTCAAGAGAGAATATTGTCACAACTTTCCCAAAGGTTCCTCAATAGTGAAGAGCGCATTTACATATACAATAGAGCCCTATGTCACAAGACCAACTTTGTAACAAACTATTTAAAAAAATAATAAATGATTTTTTGGATTGGCCTGAATGTTCTCCATATGATTTCATTAGAGAATGTTAAATGTCAAATCTGAGCTTAATGCTCAATAAGTTTTTTTTTGTATTTTAAATAAAGTTTTCAAAATATTTTATTGGGTTTTGTTTATTCAAGTTCCAAATGCAAAACAAAACCATTAAATTTGTTAAAAAGCTAATGTATATTACCTATTTAAAAATTTTTCATGTTTTTATATTATTTTTGTATATAAAAAAAATAATTCAAATGGTATGGCAAACCACTATAATTAATTTATAATAAATTATATATATATATATATATATATATATATATATATATATATATATATATATATATATATATATATATATATATATATATATATATATATATATATATATATATATATATATATATATATATATATATTTTTTTTTTTCACATATATGTTATATAATAAGCAGCACTTAGAATTAGGGTTGGCATTTGGCAATGCTGACCTAACTGCTGACCTCACAATGTTTGAGATCAGCATTTTTTTGCAGACCTCAAAATTTTAAAACTTAAGATTGTTTGCTATTTGAAATAAGTTAAAAATGGCAATAACGTTTTTTTAAATTCTAAATAAAATAATAGAAATGCAAATGAAAATATGTTTTATTTAAACTTTGAATAAAATTATTAAAAAACTTTCAAATTTTTGAAAAGGAAAAGTTTGAAAGAAAAGTTGCCCAACTCTGCGCTTGTTTTTCTGTCAATTTTATGCTAAAATTTTGCACATTTGTCAATTTGTCAAACCCTGTTTATAAATTTTGTAACAACCTAAAACAGTTTTAGGTTATTTTTCCTAATTCGATGGCTGAATAAGAAAATGGCATTGTGAAAATTTGTTTAAACCAAACAAGTGTAAAACAATCGGCATTAAAATTATTAAAAAAATTTATAATTGCCTTTTTTAGAATTAGGCCTTTCTGCTTTACAATAAATTTTTATTTCACCATGCTTGATCACTTTTTTTTTAATTTTTAAAATTTTATACTCAAGAGTTTAAAATGGTAATGTTTTTCAAATTTAGAATAAAGATCAAATTGGAACGCTTATATTTCAATCCCAAAGAGCAATCTCTTCTATTGCATTTCATCCTATTGATAGTATTTTAGTCATCACATCAGGAAATGTGTTAGTTTTTTATGATTGGAATCAATTCAAAGTTATTAAAAAATTAGTGACGAAGACAGAGGTTGAGAACATTAGGTTTAAAAATTATATGCTTTATAAATAAAAAGTTGTAACTTTGTAAATGTGTTAACTTTTAAAAACTGATCTTTGTTCTTCATTTAGGTATGTGAAGTTTCTGCCTTTAGGAGACAAACTTTTAACCGGTATTAGAAATCACCCTTCACAGGTTCAGTTTATTAATTTATGTTAGGTTCAAGTATTTAAAAATTACTGTTAATAATAATTATGATAATTTATTACTATTTTTAGAATTATTTTTAATTATTTTAATTATTTTAATTCTTTTAAAATATTTTTATACTTTAATTCTTTAAAAATACTTTAATTCTTTTAAAATATTTTTAATTATTTTAATTCTTTTCTTTTTCTTAGACTAACTTTAGTACATCAACTGAAGATAAGTTAGTAAAAAATTTTTTTTTTTTTTTTTTGCTGACATTTTATTTATAATTTTTTTTAATAATTTTTTATTTGGTTTCTTTATTAGCATAACTCCTGTTGTTTCAGTTTCCAGTCCAGTGAATTCAAAATTAGTTTCCAGTCCAGTGAATTCAAAATTTAGTACTAAATATTTTAACGACACCAATTGTGATTGTAGTAAATACGTAAAATGTGATAAGAAACATTGTAAAATAGATACCCATAAAAGAAAAAAACAACTGAATTTAAGTAAAATGGATACTTCATTGATAAATGATTCTAATGAAGCAAGTTGCAGTTCAAATGTTGTTGAAGAAGTTGGTTGCAGTGTAGATAAATTGTCATCACCTTGTTACAATGCATCTGTTTCAAAAGAAAATTCTATTAATGAAAGGTTAGAGTTGCAAAACTGTATTAAATGCAGAGAAAATTCTATTAATCAAAGTTCATCTTCTTTACGCAGTGTAAATGGTAACTCAGGAGATGTAAGTTTCATCATAAACAGTGTAAATAAAATTTTTATTAAGTTTAAATAACAGTCTTTATAAAAAGTGTAAACTTATATATAGATCTTTAATTGTCATTCATTACACTAGTTTACTTTTAAAAAAAGAAGCAATCATTTAAATGATTTTCATTTGCATTAAATTTTTTGTTGCTTATTTTTACTTATTCAAATTATTAAATTGTTTTTATTTTGAAAAGATACTTTCATGTTTACAAGACTAGGAATTCAACGCCTAACACACAAGTAACGCAAACCGAGACTTTAGCTGATAATGTTATGCATCAAATAATGGAAACCCAGTTGTACAATCCTGCAGTGAGGTTGTTAATTGCAAGAACCTTTGCTGCACATGGTTCAATTGCTGTTGCAAGCAATATTGCTGAAACAACCAATCGGATACAGTTGTGGAATTCTTCAAATGAAAGTGAACCAGATGTTAAAAATAGTAAGAATATTTATCTTTTATTGATAAACAAGACAAATTTTATAGTAAGTTTTTACTGCAACGTAGTTTATTTAAATTACCTATTTACCATTTAAATACTTATCTTCAATTAAATAGTCATCTTCAATTAAAGTAGTTCAAAATTTAATTACAATTTAAATACAGCAAACATTAAAAATTTTTTTCTTACTGTATCCAAAGTGTAATGGCTGAAGATGCCATTACAATTAAGAAGGCTACTTTTTTGTTTTTTAATTTTACAAATCTCTCTTGACCCATTAACTCCAAATCAAATGCTGCTGTGTGAAGAAATAAATTGAAATGCAGTTGCAATAAAAAGGATGAAATACCATAACAATTAAAAATATAAAATACAATAACAATTAAAGATATAAAATACAATTAGAATTCATAGTTATAAAATTGGTAAATTTAACATTTACTTTAAATTTTAGTTTTGTTTAAATTAAGTAAAAAACCTCTTAGCATTATGATAAATAATTCTTTTAAAAATGGCAAATTCCCTGATGTTTTTAAAGTAGATCAAGTCATTCCAATTTATAAATCAGGCTCCTTACTAGACTTTTCTAACTATCGACCCATTTCCCTTCTTTCCAACCTAAGCAAACTTTTTGAGAAGGCTATGCATAACAAGTTTCTAGATAAATTTAAATGCTTGTACCAACATCAATATGGATTTTGAAGCAAACATTCTACAACCCTTGCACTTATTGAAATTACTGAGAAGATTAGAAGAGCTCTAGATAACAAACACTTTGCATGTGGGGTGTTTTTAGATTTGCAGAAAGCTTTTGATACTGTGGATCACTTCATCTTATCACAAAATTAGAATACTATGGAATCAGAGGCATCCCACTAAAATGGTTTACTTCATATCTCAAAAAAAGAACACAGTTTGTTTCCATTAATAGCACTAAATCTGATTTACAGAATTGCTCAAATGGCGTCCCACAAGGTTCAGTTTTAGGACCACTTCTTTTTCTTCTTTTTATTAATGACTGACTTGAAAACTTCTTTTAAATTTGCAACTGCTTACCACCATTTTGCTGATGATACTAACATGCTACTGGTTGACAAATCACTTGAAAAAATCAACAAACATATTAATCATGATCTTGGAAGTCTTGTTCAGTGGCTTCGTTCTAATAAACTTTCTCTCAATCCTTACAAAACAGAGCTTATCATCTTTAAATCCAATCTGGCACCAATTAATAAGCAACTCAACTTCAGACTAAGTGGACAAAAAATTTATCCTTTAGGCTCTATTAAATATCTTGGGATTAAAATTGATTCTAATCTTTCTTTTCAAGTCTATCTGAATGACTTAGCGATAAAACTCAGCAAATCTAATGGAATGCTAGCTATTTTTCAACTATTATTCAACTGCCTATTTGTCTGGAATTATCATCACAAAAACCTTCCCCTATCATTCAACAATTTCTTTTCAAGTATAAATTGTCACTATCCTCTTCGCTCCATCAGTAGCTTAAACTTAGTTATTCCGAAACACCAATCTGCTAAATATAGAAATAAATCCATTAAATATCAATGTATTAGCTCATGTAACAAGCTAACTCCTGATCTAAAATCTCTTAATTCAATCTCTGAATTCAAAATCAAGCTTTTTAATTATCTGTTAAAAAAATACAATTAAATATTTCTACCAACTAATATTGACATTCTTTACTATATATGTCAATTCGTAATCCTTCAGTTTTTAATTTGATATTTTTAACATTTTGAAATTCTCTACCTATCTTATCTATCTACATCTAATTCCTCTAGTTTTCTATCTGCCATTTTTAAACTTTATTATTAAACTATCTATACTAATATTATTAATTTTAGTACCAATGGTTTGGCATTCTTTATTTATGTATCTATTTATCTCTTTTCATTTAACAATTCTCTATTTCTCAACTATTCTACTTCGTACTAAATCTTTGTTGTTGCCATCACTCTTTACTAAATTTTTGTTGCTGCTGTTATTGTCTTTATTTATGAAATTCTTCTCTTATTATAATTGTTATTATTTCGTTACTATTATTATTATTGTTATAATTATTATTATTGTTGTTGTTGTTGCTATTATTGTTCTTATCACAATCATTGTTATTATTGTTATTATTTTTATTACTATTGTTATTATTGTTATTACTATTATTGCTATTATTGTTATTATTACTATTATTGTTATTATTATTATTATTAGTATTATTAATAATGGTTATTATTATTACTTTCATCATTGACTATAACGTTACGTTGTATATTAAGGTATTTATTTTATATTAGTACTTGTACTATTGTAAATTTCCTTGAAATGTTATAACTTATTTCGAAATATATTTGATTTGATTTGATTTAATAAATTGTTTCAGTTTTCAAAATTATAGTTTAGTGCATAATAATTATAATTGCATTATATTTATTTGTAATTTTTTTGGTAAATATTTTTATGAAATTATTTTATAAGCTACAGCCAATGTTATTATTCCACGTTGCAAAATCCACAACGATAATAGTATTGACATTTCGTCAGATGGATCTTTACTTGCAGCATTCTTACCAATCAAATATAACTCTCCAATGGATATTGAGCTGCAAGTGATATCACTAAAACCAGAAAATTACTTAAACTGTATTTACTCAAAAAAATTTGGTAATTACATTATTCATGTTTTTTTATTTTCTCTTTTAACACTCCTAAACTTTATGCTTATTTCTTCGACTAGATTTCATGGTTTTATTTATTTTTAAAGGTCCAAATGCAGTATCAGTTTCTTTTTCTCCTCTATATAATTATATTGTTGTTGGTTTGGCATCACGAAAGTTTGAAAGGTGTCTTAGTGTTCCAAAAAAGCAAGTAAGATTTTTTGATTTTGTAAATAGATTCAAATGCAGCTGTGGTGTAGTTGTTCGAGTTCTGGGTTTAAAACTGGAGGTTGTGGTTTAAAGCTGGCTCTGGTTGTGTATGCGTCATTAGTAAGAAAGGAGTTTGTTTAAATGCTATTCCGCTCTACTCTGTGATTCTGCTGTGCTCTGCTACGAGAAGTCCTAAGACTGTTAGGACTTCTTGGAGTAGTTAAATAACAAAAAAATTTTGATCACTGTGTTATGACAGTGTGTTATTTATAATTTTTTAAGTATATTAAATTTAATGCTTAAATTATAGGTTATTGGACAGATTTTAGAATTGCAAATAGATTCTGAAAAACAGTCACCAGATTCAAAGGTAAAATACGACAAACATTTTTTTTAAATTTATAGTAAAATAATTAAAATAAAACGGCAAAACAGCATTCTATTTAAATTCTAAATGCCACCTTTTTTTGTCAAATTGTAAAAAAAACAAATAAAGTAAATATTGTAAAACAAATATTTTATTAATTAAAAGTAGTTAAAATAAAATCAGCAAAACCCTTGTTCATATTTCAAATTTTTAAGTAAACATTGAGGTTTTAGAAAAAATGTATTATTTGTTTTCAATTTTATACTACATGTTTGTCAATTTTATACTACAAGTTTGCTTGTTTGTTAATTTGTCAAACCTTGATTCCAAATTTTTTGCTGATCTAAAACAGTTTTAGATCAACAATTTTTTGTAAATTTTCCTAATTTCGAGGACTGCATACATACATACATACATACATAGGTACATACATACATACATACATACATACATACATACATACATACATACATACATACATACATACATACATACATACATACATACATACATACATACATACATACATACATACATACATACATACATACATACATACATTTATGTATGTATGTATGTACATACATTTATGTATGTAAGTATGTATGTATGTATGTATGTATGTATGTATGTATGTATGTATGTATGTATGTATGTATGTATGTATGTATGTATGTATGTATGTATGTATGTATGTATGTATGTATGTATGTACATACATACATGCATGAATGTATGTATGTATGTATGTATGTATGTATGTATGTATGTATGTATGTATGTATGTATGTATGTATGTATGTATGTGGTTGTGGTGTAGCGGTAAGAGCACTTGCTTTGTAAGCAAGAGGTTCGGAGTTCAACTCCCACCACGTTCCTCGCTCAACCTAATTTCTCCGCGAAGCAGCCTTGCTTGTCAAGGTTCGTGTTTCGGAGTTAAAGAGTTTAGAGAAGGTTGTACCACAATTTACAACAACAAAAAAAAAAAATAAAAAAAAAAAAAAAATGAGTAGCCTCTACGACTGTAGTGGCCCCTCGGGCCTTGGGAAGGTGAATAATTAAAAATAAAATGTATGTATGTATGTATGTATGTATGTATGTATGTATGTATGTATGTATGTATGTATGTATGTATGTATGTATGTATGTACATATGCATGCATGTATGTACATACATACATACATACATACATACATTCATACATACATTCATACATACATACATAAATACATACATATATAGATAAATGCATACATACATACATACATACATACATACATACATACATACATACATACATACATACATACATACATACATACATACATACATACTTACATACAGATCTGCACAGAGACTTTGTGGGGCCTGGGGTCAATATTTGGTTAGTGTCGAATTTTTGATTCTTGAGTATATTGAATTAAGCATAAGTTTCACTGTTTATTTTCTTTATGTCTACTATCATATTACAATTTGGTTAAGTATGATAAAATGAAAACACAAGAACAAATTAAAATAAATGGAATTATATATTTCAGCAAAAAAATGTTAATTATGAAAACTAGTGAGATTGGACTAATTTCACAGCATGTTATCTTCATTTTGTACAATAAAATCTTTGCGAGGTTGTTTTCAATTAAAGTCATCATAGATTAGTAAGGCCTTCTTCAGTCATAGTTGATCGCAATTCGGACTTGATGAGAGCAAGCTTACTGAAAGAGCGCTCTCCTTCAGTCACTAAAACCTGTATTGTATTAAAAATGCGAAGCAAAATGCAGATGGAAGGAAATACTGACTGATGACCTTTTCGTTAAATTCCATTGAGCAACTTGATAGAAGAAAAGAATTCTATTAGTCTAAAAGAATTTGATCGCTTGAGAAGAGCCTCTATGCAAGCACTTCATCTTGTTTGAGACATTTAGTAAAGGGACAGCTCAGTTGCCTCAGTCAAAATTTTCCAGTGCACTACTAAAAAGGATATACAACAATTGGATGTTGTCAAAATATTTCTTGACTACAATAAAGGATTCCGCAGAATAGTAAACGACCGGGGTTGATATTTGACGGGGCTAGGGCCGGTTTGATAAAATATAGCGGGGGCCGGTAGGGCGCATCACCAAAAATTTTTTTTTCATACTCAGCTGTGTAGTGTTCCATCTTGCTCTATAGTTTGAAATAAACTTATTGTGCAAAAATAAATTAAATTGCATTATATTTAGAGATCTCCTGGGCTATGGCAACTTTCTCTATTACAGACCATGGAGACTCATTTCCTACCCATTACTTATTTATTAAAATTTGAATAAACAAGTAATGGGTAGGAAATAAATAATAATTATTCTTTGTTGGGCATGTTTGTTGATGTTTTTAGATAAATAAATATTGTCTGCAAGTTTCTAAAAGTTTAGATTAATCAAAAATCAAGTCAAAAGCCTGCCAATACAAGATTTGGATAAGTTATAATTTTGTTTGCTCAGAGATAACAAATGTTTTCGCAGTAATTTTTGCTTAAACCTACTTTTTTACATAAATGAACTTAGTATTCACATATTTTCACAACGGGCGACAACTGCATAATTGCATGTTAGATAACATTTTGATTGTTCAGTTTGATGCACATTTAAAAAAGCTAACTGCATAATGTGGTATATGATGTGGTAAAGTTATAAATGCTTAATTTTGTAGAGTGAAATGTGAATAAAAACATGGAGGCTAAGGTGACAGAAATAAATCCCACTGCAACATCTTCCAAGGACAAGCAAGTAGTGCTGGTGCAATCTGGTTCACCGAATACCTCTGGATCTACTCGTCAAGAAACAACTCTCTCGGCCTCTAAGAAGAAACTGCGGACTCGCCAATCTACCAAGTTGTTGGTTTAATCTGCTAATTGCAAAGCTGATTCATCTATCACTGGTATTCGGCTGCCCACCTGCATGCAAGTCTTGAGGTGCATGGTGTATCACTGCAATGCAGCATCACAAGGTGAGCGACCCAGATCGAAATGGAAAAGTTGTTTTCATATCTCCAGCCAACCAAATCTGGTGGCAATTGCTACCAGACTGAAGTTGACTCCAATGCAACAGGCTGCATTCACACAAGCACTTATTGTTGGGTCTGGTGGAGATCTATCCATGGTCCCTGCGTCATATGCTACTGCAGATCATTCTCGACATAGGGTAATAGGTGAAATAGCTATAAATATTCACACTGACTGGAAACCACCAAACCTGTACTCTACACTGGGATGGAAAGTTGACACCTACTCTTGAAAACAACGGGATCACTCAAGAATGCATGACCGTGGTTGTCAGTGACGCCTCACAGTTAAAGCTATTGGGAGTGCCAAGTTATTACAAACCTTCAGACAAGTCATCAAACTCTGCAATGATTTCAAGAGAAATCATTGCAGAGTTTACTATGAAGCTAATGACTGAGTGGCATTGCAATTGTCAATGCCACTCAGTCACTAGCTTCATAGTTCTAACACGGTCACCTAACAGCAGCATGCATTGCCATTCAATAGAAAATGCAGCGTGCAGTTCTCTGGTCAGGTTGTCGCCATCACATTAGATAGGTTCTTCTATCACATGTGTTCACTGATATGAAGATAGAAGCATCAAAGTCACCAGATGCTACATTATAAACATAGCTGAAAAGTAACTGGGGTTTGATACCACATGACTACTCTCACATACTCCCGTTTTGTCCAGCTGGTCATATACTACAAGCACAAGTGCTGCTGGAAATAATGAAGGATGAGGCCATTGCTGTTGCTGCAAAAAAGGTTAAGTTCCTGTGAGATGACTATAAGGAATTCACAGAGCTAAGACTGCTGTACCTGTCATCAGAGAAGCACGTAATAGCTTTCAAAGTTACATTCGTAGCTTTTGCGTATATGCAATGGTGGCTTACATGCAACAAAACTGTAGATTCACCATGGAATGATTTTCAGCTGTACAAGCATCTACTAGCTTATGAGATTGTTGATAAGCTCATTTCACACTCTGCTATTCAAGTACTAAGTTGTCATCTCTGGTATTTGAATGCTGAGATGGTCCTACTTGCTCTATTCAGTACCCGTGTACCATTGAATGAGAGACAAGCAATTGCTGATGCATTGCTACAATTCAGACCACAATCATTGTGTGACCTGCAAGCTCCAATCCATCGATTTGGTATTGGATGGGGTAAACCTACTTTCCCGTCATCCTTAAACAGCTCACCACAGCTGTGTGAACTTATTGGAGAGGATTCTTGGTTTACCATATATCTACTGCAGATAGACGCCAGCTTTCTTAAATCCCCTGTTAGTGAGTGGGAAAGCTCTGTGGCATACTTGAACAGTGCAAAGAATGCTGCATCAGTGAATGTTGTTAATGATTGTGCTGAAAGAGGTGTTAAACTGGCTTCAGACTTTGTTGATACTGATAGATCAGAAGGACACTTTCAGAGCGTTCTTCAGGTGGTTGAAAAAGATTGCAAGGATGCTCCAAACCTTTGGTGCAAACGTGATGTCAAGAACACAGACTAATTGAGTCACACAATTTCATTCATTTCTGTTGTACAATTTAAATATTATTGAAACCATGCAGTGCAATTTAAAATGAACACTCAACAGTCAACAACACTCAATTTTTGTGTTAAAAATTTTATTTGACTTCAAAAACAGAAAAAATTATGTTATGTGTTATTTTTAACAGCAAAAAAAATGCTTGTTTAATATTTGGTCATAGTTATAAAATTTATATATCTATAGTATGTAATTATGTATGACTAATCTTAAATAAGGACCAACTTTTCTCAGTCTTGGTCCTGCCGGGCTGGTGATCCTTATAATTTTCCTGCAGTCTGTCTAGTCTAATATTTACAATGTGGCAATGATCAAGATTAGTCTCAGGTTGTTTTTTGGTGCATATTAGAACACTTGCTTATGCTCCTATTTTTAACACATGATATTAAATATGGCCAAGGAATGATAATAATGACAAGTCAAACCACTATA